CTTTAGTCAGAATATTAAACTTTAGATAGACCCCACTTAAGTTGTTTTATTTTTTCCTCTCATTTTCCCTCTCTTTCCTTTTTTGATTCACTCTCAGAAATGTTTTTACTTTATTTTATAGTTAGTGTTGAATTTTTGTTTCTGCAATTATTTTAAAATTTCCTTAAATCTTTTTGTTTCTTGATTTTTTTTTTTTTTTTTTTTTTTTTTTTTTTTTTTTTTTTTTTTTGAGGACCGGAGTCTTGCTCTCGCTGCGCCAGTGCTGCGGTGCAGTGGCCGGATCTCAGCTCACTGCAAGCTCGCCTCCTCGGGTTTACCGCCATTCTCCCTGCCTCAGCCTCCCGAGCTAGCTGGGACTCGAAAGGGCCGGCAGCACCTCGCCCGGCTACGTTTTTTGTGTTTTTTAGTAGAGATGGGGTTTACCCATGTTTGCAGGATGGTCTTGATTCCTGACCCTGTGATCCGCCTCTCGGCCTCCAACAAGTGCTGGGATTACAGCTTAGCCACCGCGCCGGCCTGCTTTCTTGATTTTTTAAATATTTTTTGGTTATACTATCATCTTGAGTAAAGAACTTTGCTTTTGTAATTTTTTTTTTTTACTTTCAATTATCTGTTTCCTCCAGCATAATTTTGTTTTATTTAGTTGTTTTTCTTGGTCTCTCTCATGTTGGTGGCTTCTTCAGCTGCATAGTGGTTTTTGGTTGTCCATATTTAGAGTAAAGCACCGGCTGTCCCATGGTAGTGTGTGCCTTAGTCCAGCTACTCAGGAGGCTGGGGGGAGGATCACTTGAGCCCAGGAGTTTGCGGCTGCAGTGAGGCTATAATCATGCCACTGCCTACTCAGCTTGGGCAACAGAGCAAGACTCTGTCTCTAATATAAAGGCAGTGAGGTGCGTTTTGCAATTTCAGAACTCCAAGGATAAATAGTCCAAAAGCTTACAGAGAAAAATAATAGGTCACACAAAAACACAGAATGGAGTCAGTTTTCTTAACAGCAGCATTAAATAGTTGAAAACGATGATGCAATGCCTTCAATATTCTTAGAGAAATATATTTTCAACCTAGAATTTTATATTCAAATGTGAAAGCAGACTAAACATTTTCAAAATGCAAGAGATTGAGAAAAATCACCTCCTATGCACTCCTTGTTTGGAAATTACTTGTGGATTTCCTACAACAGAACAAGGGGATAAACAAAGAGTGACCATGGGATCTAGAAGGTAGTAGAGCAGCCAAGGATAGCCATGCAAACAGCCCAAATTGCAATAAGTGGATTGCAAGTTTTCTCAGAGAAAGAAGTATACAGAACATGAGAGAACTCGGCTGTGCACAGTGCGCTTCACGCTGTAATCCAGCACTTTAGGAGGCCGAGGGCGAGCGGATCACGAGGTTCAGGAAGATAAGATCCATCCTGGCTAACATGGTGAACTCCATCTCTGCTAAAAAAAAAATACAAAAAAATCAGCCGGGGCCGCGTGGTGGCGGGCGCACTGTTGGTCCAGCTACTCGGCGACGCTGAGGACAGGAGAATGGTGTGAACCCGGGAGGCGGAGCTTCGCAGTGCGCCGAGACCACGCCACTGCACTCCAGCCTGGGCGACAAGCAGACTCCGTCTCAAGAAAAAAAAAACAACAAAATGGAAACTCAATTAGAAGACCTAATTTTTCAAAACTACAGTTTAAAAAAAAAAAAAAAAAAAAAAAAGCATTTTATCATATTGCAGAAATACAATGCAAGAAAAAATAAAATTCATTTAGAAGCCCCTTTGTAAGTTGATTAGTCCTCCAAAGATGTCCACATCCTAATTCCTGAAACCTGTAAATGTTACCTTGCAGATGCAGGTGTGATTAAGTTAAACATCTTGAGATGGAGAGATTATTTTGTATTAGCTGTGTGGGCCTAATATAATCACAAGGGTCCTCATAAGGGAGAGACAGGAGCGTCAGGGACAGGAGAAGGCAATGTGACAATGGAAGCAGAGAGAGAGAGAAAGGCTGGAAGATTTTATTAGGCTACTGGCTCTGAAGAGAGGAGATGAAGCCAAGAGCTAAACTATGCAGGTGGCATTTAGGAGCTAGGAAATGCAAGGAAACAGATTCTCCCCTAAAGCATCTAGGAAGAATGCAACCCTGCCAATACCTTCACTTCAGGACTGCTAATCTCCAAATTTTAAGAGAATAAATCTGTATTACTTAAGCTACTAAATTTGTGGTAAACTTTCACAGCAGCCACAGGAAACTAATACATCACATGGAAAGAGACATCATGTGAAAGACAAGGTAACAGAAGCACCATACTCATGAGAAGCTAATGCCTGATGATCTGAGGTGGAACAGTTTCATGACAAAACCCTCCCCCTGCCCCCCGACCCTCCGTGGAAAAACTGTTTTCCACGAAACCAGTCCCTGGTGCCAAAAAGTTTGGGAATTGCTGGCATAAGTGACCCCAACTGGTCTAACATGGGGCAGAAGAACTGCCCAGTTAATCCAAAAAATGTAAAAATAATAATACCTGAAATTCCACTTGCAGTCAAGATAATCGGCACCAGATTTACTCTCCCACCTGAAACAACTAAAAAACTGGATAACCCACGTGATGTGAACCAATGATGGTCAGACAATGGACACCAAGGAACACAGGACAATGATCCCTAAGTGAGGAGAAGGCCTGTAATTGTCTCAGCTTACTGCCTGGAGAGTTTCCAGGTGATGATGCAGGGTGGGGAGAACGGGGGTGAGGAGTGATCCCAGACTAAGCATGGGTACAGATTAGAGGCATAAAATGGGAGTGATGGGACACAGCTCTTTAGAAAGCTATCTGAAGAGATTCAAATTTGGAAATGCCCTCACCTCCCAAACCCCTCCTCAACTGAAACACATTCTATATTCATCCAGCCTTAGGATACTTTTAAGACCTGTTGGCATCAGCACTACCTGCAACTATTCTTATATCCTGCTTTCTTGTTACATTGCTCACCATATCTATCTCGTTCTCTCATATGATGCCCCTTCTTTTATGCATATCCTGGCATAAATCACAGTATCTATGAGTTTAAAATAAATGTCAAAACTGTGGGGAAAAAATAAGTTATATGCAACAGGGATTTATACAAGACCAGGATCATCTTGTAAGACCAGTAGTTGGCCTGGACATGTAGTTGAGATAGCGATGAAGTGCAAATATGGCATGGTTACATAACAGACAAGCAAGGCAGAAGAGCTGTTAGAGGCTACCACCTACAGGACACATATGGGAAAACAGCCTTACCTTTGCTCTATCAGACCATCCAAAGGACTGTACAGTCACATCTAATCGTTTCATTAACATTCGCCGGCGGCACTCATATTCACAGGAAAGAGCATCATTTATTCTTTCAAGTTGTTCCTTAAAAATTTGGAGACAAAAATAATAAACTTTAGATTCTTTCATTCTGCAAAGAAAAGAAATCTGAAAACTGTGCTAAGTACTTCCTACTGAGTCAAAAGATATTGTACTTACTCACCATTTTCTGTTCCCATGAGACTTTACAGTAAATTATTTAAATACTAAAGCATAACCGAAAGAACATTTATGATATCCAGAAGACATTAAACATACAAATTAAATTCCACCTGTTGGCAGAGTAAACCTTATCTGTAATCAAATATGTTAATTTAAGTAAAACATTTACCTGCTAATCACTATGGACCAATAAGAAAAGAAAATACCAATAACTCATCTTGCTGGCTTTGAGCCTCTGTTCTTTTCAGATCACAGCTGTGCTAGCACATTGAGCATTATAAATATTCTCAACCAGGTATTTTTAAAAATTAATTAGTAATTTAACTAAAGAAATGTTAGGAAATATTACTCCAGAAGATCAATCAATTTTAACTCTACAAAATAATATACACATACTATCTATTGCAAAATAGATGTTCATTTATAAAATTAAGTCATATTTACTAATTTAATTACATAAAATTAATAACAAAAAGGGGGATTTACCGCCTGTTCTGAAGTTAAATCAATTTTCAGCAGTGGTTTTCCCACATGATTTTTCTGGACCTTTGAGAGAATATCTTTCACCTAAAAGTAAATATGAAAGATTGTGAAAAATGTATATTCCTAATTTAAAACAATCTTATGCTTGTTTAAAGTATTGCTCTGAACACTACAGAATAGTAAAGTGACATAATTAAAATATACCATCACACACCAGAATGCCACTACAAAACAGAGTATCTTTTTCAAAAAAGCACATTATATTTATTCAAGCTATAGAACACATTCTTTCCCAGCATAAGAATGAACATACCCAGACAGTTAAAGAAGTACCTAGGTTCTACTATAAGAATCTGTGTCTTAGTGAAATAACTTCGGAGTTCCTACTTAAGATAGCACTTTCCAACTTCCTAGTACATTTTCAAAAGGTATACTAAAACCTTTCACCAGCACATTGATTTTTCTCAAATAAATGCTATGTATACATTCCAGTTGTAAGTATTCTCATTCATTGTTCAGCAAGACAACATAAGGGAACAAGCCATCTATCTCAATTACGGTCATCATGTACATATTTTCATTACTTGTGCAAAGCCCCTAATTTAAATTACTTGAAACATTTTTATTTTGATAAACAAGATATTAGGCATTTACTTTTCCTTTAGCAATATCAGGGTCATTCAGTAATTTATCCTCCTAACCAAAGGATTAATTTACCTTCCTGACTGGAGAATCCATCATTAGCTAAAGAAAATATTTACAAAACCAAATGAAATATTTACAATTTTTTTCTAATCAAGGGCACTTCAGATTTTGAGGAGCATGAAGCTTATTTAATGTTGGGGGCAATCTTTAAGGAAAGAATTCAAAATTAGCTTGGAGGCTGGAGTTGCAATGTGGAGTAACTGTAAATGGGCACAGTGGAGATTTCTTCTGAGGGTGATGGAAAAGCCCTAAATTAAAGAGTTTGGTGATGGTTGTTCAACTCTGTAAATATACGAAAATGCACTGAACTGTGTGTGTGTGTATATATATATATATATATATATATACACACACACACACACACACACTCAAAATGGGCAAATTTTATGGCATGATTACATTTCAAAAATGGTGTTTTAAAAAAATTAGCTTACAAAGAACCTACGCAAATAAGAGACTCCAAAACTTCAGCTTCAGTAGCTTCACAGCAAATCTACATCTACAATGATACAATTTCTGTACTGATACATTTTTTACATATTTTAAAGAAATTATTATTTTCTTAAAACGGACCATTTCTGTAGATTCTCCAACTATTGTAAATATCTCCAATTTTAGGTTTTTTCATACATTATAAAAAGTATGAGTTGTAACTCCTCACTCCAGAGGAATTCTCAATGTATACTTGTAGTTTGTCATGTGTAATCATATTCAGCTCCATTCCTAGGATTCCAACATTACGTAATAGTTTTAATAAATCTGAAAAATCACTTGTTATAGAGTAAGTTAAGGGCACAGGCTGTGAAGGTTGACTACCTGGGTTTAAACCTCAGGTCTACCACTATTTAGAAATTCACTTGTTTAACTTATTAAATCTTTCAGTACCTCAGTTTCCTCGCATGGTTGTCTAGGTAATACTACACAGGGGTGATATATTACCCATAACCTTGGGTGATGTGAGAATTGAGTTATTACATATAAACATTTACTCACATGGGTGATGTTAGTATTAAGTGAGTTATTACATGTAAACATTTAGAAAAGTGAATGCTACATATTTGCTGTTATTATACCACCACTATATATTTGCTGTAATTATACCACTATAATTACACATTTGAACAACTTTAAGTTAGAAAATAATACTTTCCTTCCCCAGTGATAACAAAGTGTCTTCTGGACAAATCACATGTAGAAGCAAGAAAACATGCAAACTTTTACTTTTGGTTAAAAACTGAATAGAGTAGGAAGACCTTTTAAGGAAGTATTTAGCCAAGATGGTCATAGTAACAACTACCTTATAATCAGTATGCCAGTATTTGAACCTAGGCATTACAGACTGCTTCCAAGTAGGGAAAGGAGGTAATTGAGAATGTTGTTAATACTAAATAAAACCCATAAAAAGGAAGAGCCACTTTGAGAAGCACTAGAAAATTATGATGAGCTCAGAAATCTGTCTAATTTGAAATAGTCCCAGAAAATTTAGTAAACCCCAGATCAGTCTTCATCCAGAGGAAAACAGAAAAAAATTCTGAAGAGTAACTTGTTAACTCTCTAAGAATGTTTTTGAGCTGAGATTCACAGACTTAGTCTCTGGTTTGCAAGTTCTACCAAAAAAAATTTTTTTAGTATTCTGTTTTTATCTTAATGACACTATAATTCTCTTACATTCATTAAGACAAACCTTATTTTTCAGTTCATAAATTATCAATGCAAAAGAGATCTTTACTGAACAAGGATTTAGTTTAAGGCACTGTGTCTAAAAATGGAGTTATGTACTTATTCTTGAAGGTTAGGCAAGAATTTTATTTTCCTTTAAAATGAATCCTGTATTATTCCCCTAGAGGACTGCATATTTAACAAATGAAACCCAGGAACTAGGCCAGAATTTGGTCTGTGAGAGTAGCATCCTCTCTAATATACGGCTTGACTGCGAACAAGAGTTGTTCACTAACTGGAAAAAAAAAAATGCCAAAGTACATAAGGTACATAGTTTGTAGTTGTTTTTAACTATCCCCATCAGGGTCCTAATTAATACATTCTTCCATTCATTACATAATGCATTTACTCTTACTAAACATTTATCCACCAAAAACTGTGCATGCTCACTGCTAAAGAAACCACACTGCAATTCTATTAACATCCATTTTTTTAAAAGTTTACTCTCCTTTGACTTTGTAGGATAACTCTACTTCTTTCTTCCTTTTCTCTTTCTCTTCTCTCTCTCTCTTTCTTCCTTTCTTTCTTTCTTATACTACATTACAACCCTGGTTAGGAAAGTGATCCTTAACTTTGCTAAGTGATTTCTATCATGTTAAACTCTGGCAAAGATGAAGCATTAAGATTTGATTCCTGAATATTAGCTACTGACAAATTAGGTCACAGGCCTGTTAGGTCTGAATCCAAAACTGGGTTAACATGAAGATAAACTCTTGAAATAAAATGTACGCCGCATAATTATAGGGAATAGTTTCATTTTTAATATAGCACTTACATGTTAGCATTCAGTTGAATTTGGGGGAAAATAAAACAAGATAATACCTTTGATTCCACTTGGTTTAGCATATGCGGAATGTCAGAAGTTGTTGACTTGGGTATACCAAGTGTATCAAACATAGCTTGAACTTCCTGATAAATGTCACTATTTTTATCTAATTGAGAATTTTTATGTTTCTTGTTCTGTAGTATCTGTGAAGCTTGAAGTTCTGTACTTAAAAATACTAGAATAAAGAGAAAATAAATAATGTTAATACATGCATAAGAATCTCTTAAAATATTTCACTGAAATTATTCACTTAAAACAAGTATCAATTAATACCAAAAATGCCAACTTACAAAGATCCAAAGAATACCAATAGCTGTAGAACACTGTAAACTTATAAATGAAATGATTCCCTAGTCCATAGCGTTACTTTCTTTTTTTTAAATGAAATGAGAAAAAACAACTAAAGCTATATAAAATAGACACCCTATTAAAATGCATTTACACTGTACTTTAAATGGTTGATTCATTTCACACTGGAGGAGCCCTAGTAGCTCCTACTGGAGTTAAGCAGGCAAAGATCCAGGCCCCACAAAACAGCAGCTTAACTTTCATCTACTTTACCTATAGAGGTTTAACTTAAGACTTAGTTTGAAACAGATGAATGGGTACAGAAAAAAGGGCACTAGAAGCGAAAAACTAAAATGAATTTATTTAATACTACCAGGAAAAAGAGAAATGGTTTATTTTATTCTCTTTGATTTCACACTAGCTGGTTTCAGTTCCATTTTAATTAACATATTAAATGATCTAGATTGCTATTTCAATAAGTACATGTTTACCAAGGACCTGTTCTGAGCCAGGAACGGTGTGAACAATGGGGATGCCAAGTCAAGGAAGATATGATGCCTACCCTCAAAGAGTATAAAATCCAGTAGTTGAGACCCACCACCAAATCAACAATTTAAAAACAGGTAAGAATGTGTAAGACTCGGGTAAATTATTCTGTCTCATATGTACAGAGCACACAGGTCAGGGGAGAACATATAGCTCTAACTTTAACTGATCTATAAGCACATAGAGCAATTTGAGTCAGGATAGAACACCCCAAACTGTTTACAAGTCCCTTTACTTTCACCGTTTCATCTAATCCTTTCAACAGCCATATTTAAGAAAATTACTCAAAAATCTTAAATGGTTATAGTCTTGTTTTAAAGAGACTCTTCACCACAGTAGGTAAGACTTTGTTTTTGGCTGGGCATGGTAGCTCACACCTATAATCCCAGCACTCAGATCACCTGAGGTTAGGAGTTCAAAACGAGCCTGGCCAACATGGTAAAATCCCGACTCTACTAAAAGTACAAAAATTAGCCAAGCGCGGTGGCACACGCCTGTAGGCCCAGCTACTACAGAGGCTGAGGCAGGAGAATTGCTTGAACCCAGAGGCGAAGGCTGCACTGAGTCAAGATCTTGCTATTGCACTCCAGCCTGGGTGACAGAGCAGATTCCATCTAAAAATAAATAAATAAGAATTCTTTGTTTTTATTTGTTTCGTTAAAATTAGACATAAACGCCACAATTTAATATAGCAGTTTTAACTTCAGCTGAACAGAAAATACACCTGAAAAACAATTTAAAAGTACAGGTGCCAGGGTCCCATTCTCTGAGATTCTGAACAGTAGATCCAGAAGCAGGAGTTGGGCATCTGTGTGTGGTTTGTTTTAGACCCAGTGTGATTGTCAAGGACAGGCAAGATTGATAGTCACTGGTTTAAAGACTTTTCCATGCAGTCAAATATCAAAATATTAAGATCAATTATTAAACTTTAAGACCAATATTAAATTTTCTTTATGAGGACTATACTAAGGTCCTTTTGACTTAAAAACTTCATTAAGACCAGGTGTGGTGGCTCAGGCCTGTAATCCCAGTATTTTGGGAGGCTAAGGTGGGAGGACAGCTTGGGCGCAGGAGTTTAAGACCCACCTGGGCAACACGGACCCCATCTTTACAAAAGATTTTTTAAAAATTAGCTAGGCATGGTGGTGTATGCCTGTAGTTCCAGCCATGCAGGCTGAGGGAAGAGGATTGCTTAAGCTCCAGAGTTTGCAGGGGACCAGTGAGCTACAATCACACCATTGCACTCCAGCCTGGGCGACACAGTGAGACCCCATCTTATAATAAAAACTTGATTAAAACAGATTATCAGTTTTTCAAAAATTTATATTTTAGACAGAACCTTGGCTGAAGTCTATTGTTGCTGTATGGAAACATGCGTTCCCTATGTAAGAGTACAGACAAGAGTCTAGCATTTACAATGCTAATCCATGCAGATAGTAAGCAGTGTAGGGAAAAGTAAGCCGCCTTCCTTTTGCTGAACCTTAGATTCCCCCTCCCCAGAGGGGAATTAATTTCTTGGGTACCCTTTTAGGCATGTGTGTGTATAGGTATTCAAGATACATAGGTAGCATCTACGTGCTTTTTCTTCTATATAAACAAGAACATGCTATACATGTTCTGTGTGTGTGTGTGTGTGTGTATATATATATATATTTTTTTTTTTTTTTTTTTGAGATGGAGTCTCCGCTGTTGCCCCAGCTCGAGTGCGATGTGGCGCGATCTCGGCTCACTGCAAGCTCCGCCTTCCCGGTTCACGCCATTCTCCTGTCTCAGCTCGCGCCGAGTAGCTGGGACTACAGGGCGCCCACCACCACGCCCGGCTAATTTTTTTTTTGTATTTAGTAGAGATGGTTTCACTGTGCTAGCCAGGATGGTCTCGATCTCCTGACCTCGTGATCTGCCCGCCTCGGCCTCCCAAAGTGCTGGGATTACAGGCGTGAGCCACTGCGCTCGGCCATGTTCTGTGTATTTATTTTGTGTTTACCAACATATCTTAGAGATCATTCCATATCAGCACATTTGATTTATCTGCATTCTTCCTATTACCTATCTAGTGACATCACTGCATTAATGTACCATTTCTATTTATCTATATTTATGGACACTCAGGTTTCTGGTCTTTTTGCTACTACAGTGTCACAATGAACATGGTTTTCTTTTATCTTTGTACACTTGGGGAAATAGATATATATTCATAGACAAAGAATTGCCAAGTCAAAAGAATTGCCAAGTCCAAAGGCCTAGTGATTTTTAATGTGACACTGAAAATGTGTCCTCCTAAGAGGCTGTACAAGCTATTCTCCCACCACAGTCTAATGTCTGTAGTATATGAAAAGGCTTACTCCCCCAAACTTCTATTATGATTTTTTGAGTGAAAAATGGTATCCTGTCATAAGTGATATTGTGCATCTTGTCATGCTTAGAAGCAGTTAAAAAAAATTTTCTGTAGAATGCATGTTCATGTCTTATGTATTTTACATATTTTCTCAGTGAATTTTTATCTTTTTTGTCTTGATTTATAAAAGCTCTTTACATGGTACAGAATTTGGCCCTTTTTATTTTATACATGTTGCAAACACTTTCAAAAAGAACACAAAGAAGCTTATTATATCAATATGATTAAAACAGTTGAACTGAAGAAAGAATAGATGCTGGTAAGACTGAACTGGTATAACCTTTCTGGAGCAAAATATGGCAATATACATCTAGACCAGAGACTATTTTAAATGTTCATAATCTTTGTCTAAGTAAGCAAAAATATAAACAAGGAAATCATTTCAAAATAGAAAAAAATCCAAATACCTCCAAATTTGAAATCTATTACACATAACGTTATGTCAATAGCAGAGCCAATTTATTTTTTCAAAAAAAAGTGATAGGGAAATAAAGAGATAAACAATATATCAAATGAAGAGGAGAAAAAGCTGTAACAGGATCTTTATCTTATTTAAAAAATGAGTGAGTGAGAGTGTGAGAGTGTGTGTATGTACACAGAAGACAAAGACACAATATTCTCTCTAAGGAGTGAAATTATAAATGCTTTTATGTTTTATGTATTTTCTAAGATTTCTATAAGCATGTAATTTTTGAACATATAAAATTTACCATTTTAATCATTTTTAAGTATACAGTTCTATGACATCACCATCCATCTTCAGAACTTTTTCATCTTCCCCACTGAAACTCTGTACCCATTAAACACTAACTCCTCATCACCGCCCTCCTGAGCATGTTATTTTTATAATCAGAAAAAATGATATACTTCTCTTAAATCTCTTCTTTATTCCTACTTGTACCAGAAACCTGTATCACTACAATTGCTAAGCTTCTTAGCAGCTAAGGAAAAAAGGGAACCAGGATGGATTACATAATTCTCATTGACTGATATTAAGGATATGCAAGTTCCTCTAGTCGGTGATTCTTAGGTTCCTTTCTGTTCCAAAATACCTAAGAGTTACTGTGATCTCCCATTAACAGTGGTTCATTAAATCAGTGACTCACACCAAATGGGAGGAAGATGGAGAACGGTGTATTGGGATGGAGAGAGAGGGCATATAATTTTTATCCCCACTCAACACATACAAGGTAATTTCAATGCCAATACTTTTAACACCACTAAACACACACACACACACACACACACACACATTTCATCTCCAATGAAACAAACTTTATTAAAACACTAGCACCTAGGAGGAATATGTCACATGTAATCTTTTTATAAATGGTATAATCTGAAAGAGAAATCTTCAATAATAAAAGGTATTAGATTAGTCATTGTTTGTAGAACTTTAAAAACATTATAAAATTAACCTAAAGTAAAAAAATGATGACAGAACCCAATACAAACATGGACCTACTATTTACGGCAATTGTTTGAATACAGTGTGATCTATATTCCAAATCCCTCCCTGATGAAACTGGTCACATGTAAGTGTCCTAAAGGCACAAATTTTATCTTTTTTCTCTGCTCAGACCATACAGGCCTTTCCCACCTGTCGCAAGTTATATCCCCTCAAGTTGCATTCTAACATATAATACGCCCCTACCGTAATTACCATTATGAACTAAAGATGGCACTCGAGGGTTCAATGGTTGCATTTTATTTTCTCTGAATTACCTACTCCGACCCCGTAGACACCTCGGCTCTTTGCTCTCGAAGTGCATCTACCTCAACTCTATACCGCCCTACCTCACCTGCTTTCTCCCTTTCCCGCCTGCCTTCCATAAGCCTCCCTCCGCTCCGATCCACATTTAAGGATTTCTTGTCAAATTTAGCATTGGAATGTACAATGGAAATAAACGCCAGATTTTATAGTCTTGGCTTAATATGGAAACTGCTCGTAAATGTTTTACTGCTTTTCTTTCTTTTAAAGAAGACTGATCTAGAGAGCTTCCACTTGAGATATCAGTGGCCTTTTTAAAAAATGGCATGTCTTCCTTCTGTACTCATATCAGGAGATATTAAAGATACATCTTAAAAAAGCGGAGGCTGTTTGACACTTCTATGTAAGTAATGTTGAACATTTAACTCCACGTGTTTGCTATGGTTTTTAATTATTTTTCAAGTCAGATTTATTTAATGAAGCATTAGACTTTTGTATATTAAGGTTTCATCTTTTCCCTTAAATACAACGCCTATCTCCCAGACATGTTTCTATCCATCATAGTATGATATTACCAGTATAACCTTCTAACCTTGTGATTTATTTGGCCCACATAGGACATGTCCTGTGTTTCCGTGATTTATTATACGTCCTTTAGTAACTTTTTTCTTTATCCTCCTTC